AGATGTATTTCTGGTGTATCTGTGGGGAGGAAGGCGATCTCCGCGTCTTACTCTTCCGCCATCTTCAAGGTCCCCCCTAATGTTGTATTCTTATTAGGAGAAGAAGACAGTGCAGATGATGTTTAAGCAAGCTAAACTGAAAATGGGGTATGTGGAGGAGGTGCACGCCCAGGTCCTGGAGCTGCCCTACGTGGAGGGGGTGCTGAGTATGCTCATTTTACTGCCTGATGACAACACAGATCTCGCTGTGGTAAGCCCTTGGCAATGAGTCTGAGTGTCCATGGATCCAGGCTAAGCTCATTTTTAAAAGTCCATCCACCAGATAGCATTTGAGGAATTTCCAATTTAGGATTATTTTAAGGAGTGCTAAATGAACACCGCTGCATGTCTTTGGGTGAACATGTGTATGCATTTCCTGTTGAGGGTACAACTAGGAGTGGAATTGCTGGTATTGACAAATTTTGATGAAGCTTAGAAGAGAGACTTCCAAAAATATAAGAACATTATTATTTATTTTGAAGGGAGGGTCTAGTTGAGAGCCCAATAATTACTGAACAAAAGGACAGGAAAAGGATAAGAATGGATCTGGGCCGTGTTCCTCAAACATTAATGTGCATATGAACCTAATGGGATCTTGTTAAAATGCAGACTTTGATTTGGGGGGAGTTATGGCCTGAGACTGTGCATTTCTAACAAGATTCCAAGTGATGCAGATGCCGTTGGTCATAGACCAACTTGAGGAGCAAGCGTCTAAAGTACAGGTGAGGAATTTATCTCAGACACGAGGAAGACATCTTCCCGTGACGGAAAGTGGGGGTTCAGGATGGGGGAAAGTAACTTTGTAGGGTGGGAGGCACAAGAGTGATAGTATGCTCGTTATCCGGCTCTCTGGGGTGGAGGGGAAGCATTATGATATTTAGTGATTCCTGTGGTGTAAATACCCCCACCATGGCTGAATTTAGGCTCCCGAGGGTTTAACAATTGACTCTCACCGGAGATACAAGCCAGCTCCAGCCCACCGCCTGCACACCAGCACACTGCTGTGAGGCTAGGGCCTGCCTGATCTCCCTGGCTTCTCCATGGAATCAGGAAGGTCCTGGCATAAGTCAAGGATGAGCTCTGTCACGGCGACGTGAGAAGAAAATTAGGAGAGTCTAGGAATAGAGCTGACATCCAAACCCAGCTGTCACGGGAGAGGAGAACTCACCTGGACTCCAGGTGGTGAAGGGAAGTGGGGACGCAAGTGGAAGCCCCCTCTTCCTCCTTTATTTCTTCCCTGTGGATAAACAGAATGAGTTCTGGGTCTTGTAGGTTTTGAAACTCCAGGGCAGGCAGAGGGCAAACAAGGATGCCAGAAGCAATCGTCCTGTGGAATTCCCCATTGCTGCTCTCCCCTTCCCAGAATCCACGTCTTCCTTCCCATTCAGATGATCCCTGATTTCCCCATTTTTCATCCATCAGAGTTCTGAGCCATGCTTTGTCTCCCTTTTGTCGAACAAGTTCTCAAACTCATGGTAAAGTGTTTCGCATGAATACAATCAATTGGTTATGAGAATTTTCTAAACTAAAACGCTTGAAATGAATTTGGTACAGATAGTTAAAAATAAAACCCTATCTTTGTCTCAGGTGTTTTCTAACTGTTCTTCTCTTGTGTCCATAAAACAAGGAAAATGCAAGAATTTGAGGGGAAATCCGGGTGTGTTTATAAGAGGAAATATCCCTTAGATTGTCTTGGACTAGATCTCACCATCTAGCTGCAGGTCATGCGTGTGTGTGGAGGTGTTAATGAGTGGGGGGATGGATGGATACCAGGCTCTTGTCATCTAGCTTTTGAAATTTAACTCTTTATTATTTCAGGTGGAAAAGGCACTTACATATGAGAAGTTCAGAGCCTGGACAAATCCAGAAAAGCTGACTAAGGATAAAGTTCAAGTTTTTCTTCCCAGATTAAAGCTGGAGGAGAATTATGACTTGGAGGCTTTTCTTCGAAATTTAGGAATGACTGATGCTTTTGAGGAAGCCAAGGCCGACTTTTCTGGAATGTCAGCCAAGAAGAACGTGCCCATGTCCAAAGTCGTGCACAAGTGCTTTGTAGAGGTCAACGAGGAGGGCACGGAGGCAGCTGCGGCCACCGCGGTGGTCAGGAACTCCCTGTGCAGCAGAACTGAGCCAAGATTTTGTGCAGACCACCCTTTCCTTTTCTTCATCAGGCACCATGAAACCAACAGCATTTTGTTCTGTGGCAAGTTCTCTTCTCCATAAAGAGCTGCAGTCGTTGTACGTCACTCTGCCTACCCTGCCTTACTTCAAATTCCCTGTGACCAAATTGATGTGGTGGTTTGAATGCCAAAATAAAGTGTAATTATGATAACAGGACCCCCTCACAGAGTTGTTGAGAGGATTTAATAGGCTGATAAAGAGCAATACCTGCTATAGTAGTACACAATATCATTATTAGACAAGAGTCGATTGCATTTTTATGCATCTAAAATGCAATAGTTAGAAAATGTAATTAATTTTGCACTAAAAATATAATGTTCTTAGGAATGATAATTAACAAAAGATAAGCAAGACTGTTACGCTGAAAATTATAAAGTGCTTTTGACAGTCATTAACGATGACCAAAATAAATGGACATATTTCATATCACGAATAGACCTTGAGTTAAAAAATTGTCAGTTCTCCCCCACTTGTCCTTTTGATGTAATGTAATTCTAATCCAAATTCTAGCAATGCTTCTATGGAACTTGACAAGTTTATTTAAAAATTTATATGAATAAGCAAAAGGCCAAAATTTATAACACATTTCTAAAGAAAAAGATCAAGTTGCAGAGCTCTGCTCTACTCGATATTGAAGCTTGTCATAAAGCCCTGGTAATACAGTGTGGTGTTTACACAGGGATAGACAAACAGATTAATAGTACAGAAGAGCCCAGAAGCATACTTATTCATATATGAAATGTGAAATACAAAAGAATTGGTATTAGAGGTCAATAGGAAAATGACAGCCCAATACAGTGTGCTGGGAAAAATTCCTTATTTAAAAGAAGAAAACAATTATTGAGATAGTAAACACTTAACGAGAAATGAAAATTTTGTATGCTTTAAAAGAAAACATAGCAGAATATTGTATGACTTTAGGGAAAGGAAGGATTTTTTTTTTTTTGGCCATGCTGCAAGGCTCGCAGGATCTTAGTTCCCCGACCAGGGATTGAACCCACGCCCTTGTCAGTGAAAGCACGGATTCCTAACTACTGGACCACCAGGGAATTCCCAAAGAAGGATTTCTTAATCAATATATAAAAAGCATAACAGTTAAGGTAAACAATGGACAAAATCAACTACATTAAAATACAGGTACTTTAAGTTTAAAATACACCATACAAATTATAAAAATATAAGCACAAACCAGGAGATTATAGTTTAACAAATTTAACCACTAAAGGATAAATCCTTTAGTGGTTAAATATTGCCATGAAAGAATCTGTAAGAAAATGGCAAACAATCCAGTAGAAAAATTGACATGAAATGGATACTTCACAAAAGAGGAAATAGAAAAGGTCAGTAAACACATGACAAGATGCTCAATCTCATTCATAAAAGAAAGCAAACTAAAATAGAAATAAGAGGTCAGAGGGGGATGTGACCATGGAGGGAGAGCACAGAGAGATTCACTGTTGCTGGCTTTTGAGGATGGAGGAAAGGGGCCCCGTCAAGGGACGTGGATGGAGAAGCTGGAAAGGACACGGAAATGGATTCTGCCACAGAGCCCTGAGAGAGGGATGCAGCCCTGCAGGCACCTTGGTTTTAGCCCAGAGACTTGCGTTAGACTTCTGACTAGCAGAGCTTTGAGATGGTGAATCTGTGGTGTTTTAGGTCATTAAGTTTATACACAGTTTGTTACAGCATCAACAGGAAATGAATACAGCATTCAACACTGATTCTTGCCATTGGCAAATGACAGAAACACATTTCTGTCTAACTTAGAAAAAAGCAATTTATTATCCAGTATCAAGTTAAGAAAAGTGCTTGAGGAATAACTAGAACTATGGACCCAAGTGCCTTAGGCTCTTCCTTCATCTCTGGTTTTATTGTTTCTCAGTGTGTCAGCTTCCTTCTTTCCCCACAGCACTTGAAGCAGAGCTCCACCCCTCAACCCCAAAACCATAGTCTTAGGTTGGCCAAATTTTGTTCCATAGCTGTCCATCCTAGAATAAACAACAAGGGCAAAGCAGCTAGGAAACACAGAGATGAACTAGGGACAGTTACTATAATATGTTGCTTGGAAGACTGATCACGTGTCTGCGTTCCACCAAACCTGTTTTGGCCGTAACTGAGCTGTGATACGTCTCAGTTCATGGCCTCCTCCTGCCAGTTAAAGACTAACACAACTAGAGAAAACAATTAATTTAAAATAACATTGGTCAGGTTATTTAAAAGCATTTGGATCAACAGAACTATCACAAGCCAAGCTCATCCACTGTGTTGGTTTTTACTGCTGACACTTAACCACCATCCCAGTGGCTTGAGTAAAGGATCTTCGTCTCGCAATTCTGTAGGTCAGTGGCTTACCCCGGTCTTATAGTGTCAAGGTCAGGGTGTCGGCAGGGCTGCCTCCTTTGAGGGTTTTGAGGGAGAATCCATTTCCAGAGACATTCAGGTTACTGGCAGCACTGAGCTCCACGTGGTGGTAGGAATGAGGTCCCTGTTTTCTTGTTGCCTGTCAGCTGGGGGCCTTTTTTGGTGGCTTTCTTCCAGTTTCAAAGTCAGCAATGGTGGTCCAGTCCATCTTATGCTTTTGTAGGGAAGGGAAACTTTACTTCTAGCCATCACCTTAGGTTTTCAGCTGAGGCTCTTTAACAAAAAATTAGCAAGAGAAAGACAGTTTATTAATGCATGTATTTGTATACACTATTACCAGATATTCCACTCCTAGTTAGAAACCCTAGAGAAACTGTATGTTCAAGAGACATGTGAAATAATGCTCATAGCAATACTATTTCATCACAGCAAGAAAAAATGCTAAAAGAAACCCTAGGAAAAAATGCTGAATTATTAAAATGAATAAATTATGTTGTATTCATACAAAGGAATCAGGGTTATCACCTTACTCAGCTCTGGGGCACCATTCACACCGTCAGCACCTTTCATACAGAACACAATGTACAAGGTTGTACAAATTTGTACAGAACACCATATATTAGGGAAAATGAATTAATCACAGCTATCAGCATAAAACAAATGCAGAGTAAAAATAACAAGTGTCAATTGCATTTGCACAAAGTTAAATAATAAGCAAACTGGTCATTATGTTGTTTAGAGCTACATCTATGTAGTAAAGCTATAGAGAAAAAGCAAAGGAATTGCTAACACAAAATACAGGATAGTACGAAATCCAGGGCAGGGAAAGAATGTAATCAGATCAACAGGAAGCTTCAAAATTATTCCTGATACTCTGTTTCTTAAGTTGGATAGTGGATATTAGATGCTTATTCAACTTACTATTAATCTTTAAATATACATATATGTATATCCATTGTGTTGTATCAGTGATACATTTCACAATAAAAAAAATATAACAAAAGAATGGAGAAATCATAGTATAATGTGATGCAATGAGGACTAAAACCAGCTAAGAGAAATAAGACTAAATATTGTAAATTTAATAATGGAACTAAAAGTGACTTCCTTATTAAAAGATAAAAATCTTTTAGATTGAAAATGAAAAACGGTGGTTTGGTCAAATGTGGTTTTCAATTAGCATACCTCAAACAAAGTGACATCAAATGAGCAAAGATATATCAGGGAAATTTAAATAAAGGGACAGCAGGAGTCAAACTATTAATAGCAGAAAAGGTGGACTTTAAGGAAGTGAATTAAAATGGAGAAATGCTGTCTTTTGATATAGAAAGGGTATGATTCATAATGAAGATAAAATTTAAATTTCAACATGCCTCTTTCAATACAGGACAGATGAACATAGAAAAAATAATAGAAATCTGATAAAAAATATCACCAGTATACTGTACTTCATAATAAGACCCATTTTTGTACATCTTCACACCTCTGAAAGTAAGATATGTCTAGATGTAATTTTCATTGTCCATATATGTTTGTTTTTAGTCATAGGTGTCTTTATTTTTTTCACTTCAAGCTATTGTTGATGCTATGTGTGTCGAGTATAGTTGCCATTAATTTTAAAAGATTATATTATTATCTGGCCTTAAAAAATTACTGTAAATGCCAAAAATTACTGAAGTGAAACGGTGATGTGGAATTTGATATTAGAGAAGTGAATATCTAGATTTGGAAGAATGAGTGAAATTCCCAATTTTCTTGCAAAGCAATGACCATAATCCATAATTTATAGGACCTAAGAAAGGACAACCCTATACCCTGTGTTATAGGGTTCCCTATTATACGCTAACATCAAAACTTGTGGAAAGAGTGTCAGTAGCTTGGAAGAAAATCCCAGACAATAGGGCTATGTTTGCTCACGTTTGGTAATGCCCACATACCGAAGTTCTTGCTGGCAGAATAAAGAATATTGTGATGAAAAAATGAACATCTATGGTTTTAAGCCCCATAAACATTTAAAAGAACCAGATTCTGAATATGATTTTAAGTTATTTTGCAATTTATTTTGAAAATACTGCACTTTACATATGAAGAAGACAACAAAATATATATCTAAACACACCTAAAGGAACTCTTTACATATTTATAAATAAAAATTCAAGTGAAACAAAGTATTGTATCATAATTCAATTGGCACAGCTTTTATTTCCTTAGCAATACATGAAATAATAATGCATTTTAGAGGGGGGGGTCATTTTAGAATTGATGACATGTGGTACAATTTATTTGATTATTTCTTCCCTTCCTATCTTACTGTCCAAAACGTATGGCCATCAAGTGTTAGACCCTCTGAATTGATCATCTACAGCTCAACTTTTCTCTATTTTCAAATCCTGAGCTATTTCCCGATTTTTTTTCTCCAAGTCCTTCTATTGATTTTTTTTGGCAATAATGTTTTAAATTTCAGAAACATATTTTCTTGCCTTTTGTTCATTCCTTTCTGTCGTATCGGTCTGTGTGTCTGTGTCTGTGTGAGCGTGTGTAATAAGCTCTTGAATTAGCTAAAAATACCTAATGGGAATTGTTCACGTTCTTGTCTAAATTGTTTCTTCCAGATCAGCTCTTCTGAGTGTCAGTATCGTTCCCTCTATAGTAAACCAAAGATGTTCTTCACGGTTCCTTGTGCATTCTGATTGTTGACTCCTATCCAGTAATGAATAATTTTGAGGATTGATGTAGGCAGCTCGTCTATGTCGCCTCTACTGTTGTCTATGTGTATAGGTTAGGGCTCTTCATTC